CAGGACCCTTCTGAGGGTGTAGAGCTGGTCTGCTGTTCCACAACCAGGATGAACACCACACTGCTCTTCCTGAATCTGAGATTCGACTATTGKACGGACCCTCCTCTCCAGGACTCCTGAATAAACCKTACCAGGGAGGCTCAGAAGTGTGATCCCCCTATAGTTGGAAMATACTCCGCAGTCCYCCTTTTTAAATAGGGGGACCACCACCCTGGTCTGCCAATCCAGGGGAACTGCCCCCGATGTCCATGCAACCCCATAACATCCAGAGCCTTAAGGAACTCTGGGCGAATCTCATCCACCCCCGGCGGCTTGCCACCGAGGAGCTTTTTAACCACCTCGGTGACCTCAGCACCAGAGATTGGAGAGTCCGACCCAGGGTCCCCAGGCTCTGCTTCCTCGTGGGAAGACGTGTTGGTAGAATTGAGGAGGTCTCCAAAGTATTCTGCCCACCAACCCACAACATCCCGAGTTGAGGTCAGCAGCGCACCATCACCACCAAAAAACAGTGTTGGTGGCAACCCCCCCACCCCAGAGACGCCGGATGGTGGACCAGAATCGCCTCAAACTGCCTCTCCCTGGGCTGCCATCTTATCGTGGTGGAGAGGTTTGAGTGTCCCAATGATCCTAGGAGCTATGTTGTCAGGGGCTTCATGCCCCCGGGCCACCCAAGGCAAACAGGTCCTAGGTGAGTGATCAGACAAAGTGCAGCCCCAAGACCCCTCAAGACGAGTCACAATGATGGATTCAGTGTTCCCTCACCTGGACGCGGGTCACCGGGGCCCCACTCTGGAGCCAGGCCTAGAGTTGGGGCATGTTGGCGAGCACCTGGTGGCCGGGCTTTCACCCATGGAGCCCGGTCGGGCACAGCCCGAAGAGGAGATGTTGGTCGGTCCCCCTTCYCATGGGCTCGCCACCTGTGTGATGGGCCAAAGGGGTCGGGTGCATTGTATGTTGGGCAGTGGTCGAAGATGAGGACCTTGGCTGTCTGATCCTCGGCTACAGAACCTGGCTCTAGGGATGTGGAATGTCACCTCTCTGGCGGGGAAGGAGCCTGAGCTGGTGTGTGAGGTTGAGAGGTTTCGACTAGATATAGTCGGACTCACCTTGACGCACTGCTCTGGAACTAGTCTCCTCGAGAGGGGTTGGACACTCTTCCACTCTGGAATTGCCCATGCTGAGAGGTGTTGAGCAGGAGTGGGCATACTTATTGCCCCCCATCCTAGTACCTGTACATTGGGGTTCACCCCAGTGAACGAGACGGTAGCCTCCCTTTGCCTACGGGTTGRGGGACGGGTCCTTACTGTTGTTTGTGCCTATGCGCCTAATAGCAGTTCAGATTACCCACCCTTTTTTGGAGTCCTTGGAGGGGATGCTGGAGGGCAATCCTAACAGGGACTTCCTTGATTTGCTGGGGGGACTTCAACGCTCATGTGGGCGATGACAGTGAGACCTGGAGGGGTGTGGTTGGGAGGAACAGCCCCCTGATCTGAACCCGAGCAGTGTTTTGTTATTRGACTTCTGTGCTCATCATGGATTCTCCATAAAAAAAACACCATGTTCAAGCATAAGGGTGTCCATRTGTGCTCTTGGCACCAGGACACCCTAGGCTGCAGTTCGATGATCGACTTTGTTGTCATTTCATCTGATCTGCGGCCACATGTTTTGGACACTCGGGTAAAGAGTGGGGCGGAACTGTCGACTGACCACTACCTGGTGGTGAGTTGGCTCCGGTGGTGGGGGAGGATGCCAGTCAGACCTGGCAG